CATAGCCTGTATATATGTATTTAATTCCCACTGACAGACCTTTATGCTAATCAACCAGAGAAGGGAACATGATGAGGCCATTTTGTTTGCCTGAGTGCTGTGTTTTCCGTCCATGTTGATCCGTGGCCATCCAACGGTCTGTGTCTTGTGTGTGCATATTGGGAATATGTGCTCCTAGCTGCTGCAGGGAGCTGTGGCAATGTCACCTCTGCTGGGCTACAAGATGCTGCAACTTCTAACGTAGAATAAAAATTCTAATGGAACAGCTGGTGTAGTGAAAGAAAACATCCTAATTTTTCCTTGGAAAGGTTGTTTTGTTTTGTTTTTTTAAAAAAAGGCATGTTTCTCTGATGCTGTTACTTTGGTCATGAGCCTGGTAAGTTCTTGCTCTGCCACCTCTGAGTGCAATGTGCAAATCAATCAGCTGTGCATTGTGATTGCTTGAAGTCATGTTGCATATCAACAGAGCCTGAAATGTAAATAACTTTGATTGGTGCACAGAAAGTTTAAAAAACAAAAAAAAAGTGGTTTTGAGGCATTTTGTCATCCCAAAATGGAGACCACCACATGGATTAATCATCATCTGCATGTTATGCAGTTTATAGCTGCTTAATAATTAGAAATAAACTTTGTATTCACTCCTGAGCACTGTAGTAAGCTTTCCTTTTCTGAGGTGCTTTTATAAAGCATAGAACAGAATATTGTTCATGGGTATGAAGGACACATAGTTCTACTGCTGCAGAAGGAAAGTCATGAGACTTGCCTATGTTTAGCCTATATCTGGGGCTAAACTGTAACAGTTGCTCTATCACAGACCACCCCTCACCAGCCAGGAAGGGGAACTGGGAAAAGGAGAAGAGACCCAGTGGGTTGAAGTAAAAACAGATTTAATGAAACAGCACGAGTACCAACAAAGGTATACAGAGTTATACTCAGACAAATGAATATGCAGCAACCACAATCAACAGGAGAGCAGGGAGAAGGCAGAGGAGGAAGAAGCACCAGCAGGAACCCCACAAGACCTCTCCTTCCTCAGCAAACCTTCCTCCTTTATAGTGACCATGGCAGCATGGTATGGGCTACACCTGTAGCTGACTCAGGTCAGCTGCCCTGGCTGACTCCAAACTGCTAACAGCCTGCTGAGCATGGCTGGGCTGTGATTCTATTCCAGCCAAACCAGAACAGGCTATAAAGCTACTGAAACTGGTGTCTCTGTCCTGAAGATTTAGGCTACCTGCCTGACGTTTTAGCTTTAATGGCAGTTTCTTAGCTTAATTAAGTTTCAGATGCAAAACTGTGAACATTATTTTGTTTCCTCTGTCCTTCATTCCTTCCCCAATGGGATGTGGATACACACAGGATAAAGATCCCTCAGATGTCACTGAAAGTATTGCAAAAAGTGGTTTGTCCATGCACAACTCTTCTCTGAACTATGAACAAATATGCTTGCTTACTTCATTTTTGACCCACTAAAGAAGTTGAATGATGTGGTTTCCCTTAGGGCAATTTTTTCTTTAAATGTGCAGAAGGAGGCTTTTTTAGCAGATCTTTAAATTCAGGTGGAAAAAAGATCTGTAAAATCAGTGGCTGCCCTGTGTCTTCACTTTGGATCACTTTCTTTTGCTGGTTAACAGACACCTTGCTTTGGATCGGAAACATGTGCCGTTAGGTATCTTCAGACTGCAGAGACAAGGAGCGTAACTTCAGAGGGAAACAGAGACAGCAAAGTTGCTCTAGCCAAGGAATTTTGTCCCTGCTCACAAATCATAGCATAGTTTGGGTTGGAAGGAACCTTTAAAGGCCATCCAGTCCACCCGCCCTGCAGTGAGCAGGGACATCTTTACCTGGATCAGGTTGCTCAGAGCCCTGTCCAACTTGACCTTGAATGTTCCCAGGGATTGGGCTTCTACCACCTCTGTGGGCAGCCTGTTCTGGTGTTTCACCACCCTCATTGTAAAAAATTTCTTCCTTATCTCTAGTCTAAATCTGCCCTCTTTTAGTTTAAAACGGTTACTCCTTGTCCTCATCTGTTGCGGTAACTTTTCTTCTTTTTAGCAGATTCACTGGTAGTGTGGTTGGCAGTGATGCATTGACCCTGTCCATGTTAAAAGATGCCATTCATAAATCAGCAGAGAATATGCAGAACCTTTTTGTCCAAATGTGGATCCCGCAGCTTTACTGCACATACCACTAGCAGGGCATGCTTCTTTCAGCAGCTGTAGAAAACTGATTGAAGCTAGTCCTTTCCACATGCTTGCCTTGCCAGGGAATTAAAGCTTCGGGCTGCCATTTGTGTGGAGTTTTTAAATATGTATGACCCAAACAAGGTGCCTGTTGAGAAAGCCTCTAATCCTCTTGCATATGAAACCTGGTATTCTGATCTTCACTCTTTGTGATGTTTCTGTGCTCTCAGATATGTTAAATCTACCTTTGAAGTTCGTTTCCTCTTGTGTAAAATACACTTTAATAGGGGAATCTTGCAGCTGGGAATTAGGAGATAGTTGGACATACTGAGCAGGTCATGTAATCATCCTTTGCCTTGGTTTCCCCGTTTGTAAAGCAGAAAGTGTCATGTCCACCCCCCTGTACGCAGCTCTTTGAGCTTTGTTCTTCTCATTTAGAAGCCATGATGTAGCATAGACCTTCTACAGTCTGGCATGAAGCCCTACTGGAAGGTATCTTGTCTGAGGATGCTACAAATCCATAGGTAAAGAGTAGAGGCTTCCCTGTTTCTGATTAGGAATTCACGGGCACAAATATATCTGCATGCTGAAGGGGTCAAACCAGTTGTGTGGTTGCAGGGAGTCCTGCCCAGTCCTGCCAGTCCAACACTTGCACAGAGTCAGAAAATCTGTGTCTTACGCAAATCTGATGATTTCTTCCATGTGGTCTGTATGCCAGTGATCCTTATGTGTAACACCTTGATTTTTCAAGAACATTTGCATCTAATGGCAGACTGACTGTTTAGCTACAAAGACACAAATGGCTGCAAGATGGGTGAGAAACTCACATAGCCAAAAAACTTTTCATAGGCTTTTTTTGTACAAGGATCTCAGGAAGGCTGAACTTTTCTGGCCCCCCTCTTGAGATAAAGTGTGTAGGTGCCACTAGGACCTGTGGAGCTATGGATAGGAAGACAGATTGTAAGAGATGGATATGCCTTAGAGGCTTGTGTAGCCGCCCTTCCCCTAGCTGGGCCAGGAACTAGGGGATATCTGTCCTATAGGATGACTGTAATTCCTTCTGATGGCAGAAATATTTGGAGTAGGGGGAGGGAAAAATGCAAGCTGTTCTCAAAGTGAAAACATTTTCTGCTAAGGTGCAGCAGGCTGGCCATTGTTTCCCTTTGTAAGGACAGAGTTTCTAAGACACATTGAATTTTGGCATCTCTTGGATCCAAAAGGTTTTACCTGTGCAGAATACAGTGATCCTCTGCTTAGATAGGATGTGATCGAGTAGCTAGACAAAAGCTGGAGTATTGAGTTTTGCTTTGATGGACCTCCTAGGAGCCATATATAGCTCCTTAAAAACCCAAGTAACCTGCGACAAAACTGTCCAAGAGAGACCGTTATAAGACAGCACAGTTATAAAATACTCTGAAAGGCTCAATAGGGTTTTTTTCCCTCTCTTGTGATGTTTGGAGTTGAACTTCAGATACATCATTTTGAACATGGCCTTTTAAAGTAACTTTCTATTCTGTCCCTGTCATTTTTAGAGCTGTAAAGGAAAGCCAAAATGCTAGGGAAAGGATGCAAATGAAAAGGGGGAGCAGGGTTAAAGAGTAGGTTTTGATCATCTTTGCAAGAAGTGACATCATCTGTGAGAACAAAAGTCTTCAGTCGCTACAACTGGAGACAGCTTTTAGTCTCCAATTCTGTTTTGCCCTGAGCCAGCCAGCCAAACAAAAACAGTGGGATAAATCACTGCTGGCAGAACTTAACAGTTATGCAACATCCAGTGTGCCATGCGCCTATTTTTAGATCAGTTTTACACCAGCAGAATTTACTTTATGAAATCTAAAAAGAATGTCTGGTCAGAGGCGGAGGGATAAAGAGGGTATTTAGAAAGTGCAAAATGTAAAAACACTTAATGCAAAGACGCGCTAGCAAACCCCACTCCAGCAGTACTGATATCCTTTCAAGAGCGTTGGCTCGATCAGGCATGATAATAAAGAGTAGAGGAGGTTTTTTTCATCAGTATTCCCTTGAATTTCTAATCTGCAATTGCTTTCTCAATGGTTAACTATACTCGCTTTACCCAAATAGCTAACTATGTGTGGTTTGCTTACAGCTGGGCTTCTCCACCATTTATGCTGTACTTTGTCTTTACCAGATCTGGAATTCAGTAAGCAGCAGCTCACCTCTACAGTTCTGGGTGGTCAGATTTAAAGAAATTGTGTTAACTGGAGTAGTCTGCAAAGTTAGCTGAGCTACAGAGATACCCTCATCCTTTGTGAGATATCTTAGACTTAACGGGCTCCTGATATTTAGCTGGTATATGTTTCACATATGTTTTCTTAATCTTCAGCGAATTAGGATTGTGTATGCTGCTTGCCCCAGATCAAACCATCTTTTTCAGTGTTCACAGGAACATACACTAAGTTGTATTTCATTAGCTGAAAGCAATTTCAGGTTGCAGCACAGGTATGAAGATTAGTCTCACATACTGTGCTTTCTATCCAAAACTGGGTGTGCATCTTTTCTTCATTAAATTTGATTTTATCCTCTTCCTCACTGTTGTAATTCTACATTAGTTTGTGCTGTGTATAATTTTGTTCCCAAAGATTTTTGCTCAGATTCAGAAAACAGGTAATGATTGGGAAAAGTTTGACCTTTGAGTCTTTAGTGATTCTAGCAGATGAAACATACTCTGCATAGCTGACGTATATTTGGGATTTCTGGCACAATTTGGCTGGTTTTCAGTTACGCCTTGAAGCGAATTAGCGTTCTGACCATTGCATGATCTGTATTGATCTTTCTTCCCCAAAACCTTTCTTCTAGGTGACAATCTGGATGCTATCCATGACATAACTGTGGCATACCCCCAAAACATTCCTCAGACAGAGAAGCACCTTTTGAATGGAAACTTCCCAAAGGAGATTCACTTCCACGTCCAGAGGTATCCCATAGAGACAGTGCCCACTTCTAAGGAGGAGCTGCAGCTTTGGTGCCGGAAGCGTTGGGAAGAGAAAGAGGAGAGACTCCGATGCTTCTATGAAGGTGGAAAATGCTTCAGTGCAACCAGGCAAAGCTTTATTCCGCCGTGTAAATCTGAGCTCAGGGTCCTTGCGGTTAAGTGCATCTCGCTCCTGTATTGGACAGCGTTCCCACTGGGTATGCTTGCACTGCTGTACCTGTACAGCTCTGCGCGATGGTATTTTGCAGCCATGATCATCTTTTTTGTTGTGCAGCAAAAGATATTTGGTGGGCTGGAACTAATTGAACTCGCTTGTCATCGGTATTTTAAAAAGCAACAGAAATTTCACGACACAAAAATAAAAACCAATTAGTTCTGGGGTAGAGAAAGATGTAAAAATGGGTGAGTTTGAGATGTCCTGCAAATTTTACGCACAGGGGAGAATTTTTGCATGAGAATTGTCTTTTACTATCGCCGTTGTTAGACATTTGCACTTGATTCTGTGAAGAGAAAGAAACATGTTAGTTATTGCTACACGTGAAAATGGTAGTTTTTATCTCTGAATGTAATTTCAACATCGCTCTTGCAAGCAGCTAGCAACTGCGTTCTGCTGTAATTAAGAAACAAATTGCTGGATTATTGAACAATCGTAAGGTCGTTAATAAATGTGACATGCACTGAATTTTCATGTAGAAACCCAAACTGTCCAGCTAAGAGAGACAGATGTATGATTTCTGTATAATCACATTGTCATAAAGCGTGCACCAGACTTGGAAAGCTGGTAAGTTTAATGATGTTTGATGGTAGGTGGAAGTTGGAGGAGAGGTTGTTCTGTTTCTTTTTTCTGTTTCAAGTATTCAAACTTATTTTAAAATAATATTTTCACGTAAGCTTTTCCAAACACTGCTGACCCTACCACTATTCAGCCAGCTTGGTCACCCAGAAGGATTTTTAAGCCCTGCAGTCTTGTGTTGTAGTACAGAAAACAGTGCTGGCTCTGCCTCCATGTAAGTCTTAACTGATTATTTAACAGACCTATGCAGCTAAGTTTTGATTTCTCACTGTTTCATACTGTTCCAATCTCCCTGTTAGCTGTGGGAGACGTGTTCCTGCTGTAGTATGCAGAGCTGCAGGATAGGGGAGCTGGTTTTTTTGTTGTTTTATTGGTGTTTTTTTTTCTTTCAGAGGCAAAAATAAGTGTCTGTCTCTGATTATCTGGCAAATGTTTTTCAAAAAACATTATTTGATTGAAAACATTTTAGTTATTTTTCAGAGTAGGCAAGGTACTTTTTGTTTTTTGGGGGGGAAGCATTTATTTTGGTTTTCACATTGCTTCCTTTGGCATTTCAAGTGTCCATATAGACAAGCAGGAGGACCGCTTGTTCCGTGTGTGTCAGCCAGAGCTGTTGGAATGCATCTGATGCAACGGTTGTTTCCTTATGGGTACAAGAGATGGGTTTCAGACTTAATCACAGCACAGGGAAATTGAGCTACATCTTCCCTTGCAGCATTCTCTTTGATTGCCTGATGACATCATTGCTTTTCCAACCTCCTATGCAATTTTTGGAGGGTTCTTTTGGGGCTCCCACTAGAATGGTTTCGCTTATTTTCATGACATTCAGAAAATCTGAAGGCTTAAACTCAGACAAGGCACTTTAAAGTGTATTCCTTGTCATATATAATAAAAGTAATGTTCATGCTTACATAGTAAGAGACATAAACATTGCCAGCACTCAGGAGACACTTCAGGTTAGATTTGTTTTTCAACCTCAGAAATGTTAGACCACATGTATTGCTGCAAAACCTTCCTGACTTACTGAATATTTGTTGTTCATTGCATGAAGGCTTGTTTGAGCTGAACCGAGATGCCTGGCTCCATATTTTGAGTGGCATTGCCGTGGAATGTGAAAGTACAAAAAGTGCAAAATGTATCCTGTACTATGCTGATATCTCAAGCATTGGGTCAGCACGGTAGACGCATCTGTTTTCTTCTAAATTACAACACTAAACATGTTGTCTAATGTGTTTGTATCAAAGGCCGTTTTCTGAATGAATCACCAGCCTCTATTCAACTGTCCCTTGCAAGGTGACAAGTATTTTTTAATCTATGCTTATAATAACTAATTGTTTATTATGCTGAAAGTACTTGAAGCCATCCGTTTTACTCTAATTTTTTAATCCCTTTTTTCTTAAAAATAAATAAAACTAGGTTTATATTTAGGGTTATGTTTCTTAATGATTTTTTTCATATTTATATTTGAGTACCTGACAACTGATGTTTTATTGTCACGAGTGGAAAGAGGTCTTTTCTGCACTATGAGGACTTTTTAAAATGTAATTCTGTGATATGAAAGGCATGGTTGCAGCTTAAATCTACATAGCCTGGTTTTTCTTTGCCTAATACTCTGCTTTGGTGCAGTTCCCTGCACATCCAGGTAACTCACTGCAAGGGAAAACAAAAACCTCATTTATGGTTGATACAGAGGAGACCTAAAAGGCTTCTTCTAGTCTGTCCTGAGCCACGGCTGTGCTTTCATACCAGGAGTAACCATGGCCAGCCTACTCCAATAGCCTTAACATAGTCTTCAGGAATGACTTCGGAGGACAGGTTATGTACGTTAGTGACATTAATACCAGCTACGCTTTTCTCAGTTGTTCAGAGACGTTTGTGCTGTCATCAGATGTATCAAAAATGTCAGTGTGAGTCTTGGTCATGGAGCAGTGAAAGGATTACGTCTGTGTGTGATTAAGAGTTGGGCTCTGAAAATAAAATCATATGCAATCTACCTTTCACCTTTCCAAGGGTTTTTCTCCCAGCCAGAGCCAAATGCATAACCTGCTGTAATGAGGTAAACAAGCTGCAATTCTGCAGTTCATCCTCCTCTCTCATGTATTCCAATCGAAGAGAAAGAATAATCTTCTTGTCAGCTGCTAATGTCACATTTGCAGTGCCTGCCTCCATGATGCGGGGTGGCACAAGGTGAGTGAGGAATCCTCCTCTCACAGGGAAGGGTGACTGACGTAAGTTTTCAGATTATGTGCATCATTTTCCAACTCAACCGGAAATGCAAGAAAGGGGAGAAAAAATTTAATAAAAAGAACAGGCTTTGTGAATATCAAAGCTTCTTTGTTTAAAAAACTATTAAAGAACTGGGGGAAGATCTTTCTGTGAATGCTTTTTTTCCTCTTTGGTCAAAATGTAGCTTTTTACTCAAAAGGTTCTAATATACAGATTTTTTGGAGACTATTTTGTTCTTACCCTGTTCCTTTATTCAGAGTACACTAAGATGGCACTTAGGGACACGATTCAGTGTTGGACTTGGCAGTGTTAGGTTTACAGTTGGACTTGATGATCTTAAAGGTCTTTTCCAACCAATGATTCTATGCCGGATAAATCACTTTGAAATGTTTTCAATGCTGTTAGATTAAAGGTGCTAGTACTCCAGGAATAACACACACCCCTCTTTCATGGGGCGCATGTTGGCACCGAGACTCATCTCACTCATCAGCATGTTTGTCATGGCTCACCTGCTCTCGTGGTCCCAGCAGCCGCACTGCTCAGCAGCAGCTGCTCTGTCCACGGGACCTACAGGTCTTGCTAGGTCTTGCCTACGTTATTTGAGATCAATGACGTGCTTTGAGGATACTGCTCTCGTTTGCCCAATCAAATGTTTCCTCATCAGCATCAGGGGTTTCTTTCTCTCTGCTCAGAACAGAAGGTTGAAGTCCTGCCATCTGTGTTTGTCATCAAGTTCATCTGGGTAGCAGGACGTCAGATCAAGGCATTTCTTTCTTGGCTTCAAAGCTGCAAGGCCCAAAGCTGGTCTGTAAGGTGTCGTCTTGATCATATGAAATGTAGTTCCTAGTTTTGTGCATTGCATCGATCTGTGTTGTTTAAAAAAATCTGTGTTTTTATAACTTGATTTTATATGTACACTGTGTGAAAGGAAACACCAGGATACTACAAACCTACAGAAAGCCTTAGTTTTCAGAGTTCACTGATTCTCTTAGAATGTTTTAACCATGTACCAGTTACTCTACAGCAACAATAAAGACCTGAAGCATTGCATGTGTTTAACTTTGCTGTTTTCTTTTTACTGCGCGAGATGCTCTCTATGCACCCATATGGAACAAACCTTGTCTTCAATCGTATGACTTTTGGGCAGACGAGTGTCTGTTTGGGTGCTTGACCCATGGTTTGTGGCTGTTGGGGTGGTATGTCTCCCTTCTCACCGTGGGAGGTTGGAAAGGGGTGGCTGGCTGTACCCGCTGTTCTAGTGTCTTCATGTAAAGGGACGCAGAAGCCTTTGAGTGTGCAAGAGGTACAGCTCAATTTTAGCCTTGCTTTGCTGCTTAACCAGTGTTGCTTAAGAATAAGCTGTGGCTCAAAAGAGCATGTTAGGTAGCAATACATAGTTAAGTCCTCCTTTTTAGCTATATCCTGTTACCACCCTTGTAATTACTGACACAAGAAATTATCTATGGCATGGTTCATGTTCTTAGAGGACCTGTCTTTAATGTAACTTCAGGTCACAGGCTCCTTGACTTCTCTCTCCATTGTCTGAGTATGGAAGGGCAAGGGCTGTGTTTCTCAGGAGCTGTTGTGCTCCTTGTTACCTAATGGGGAGCAGCCTTGCCGTGACCGCCGCACCCCACAGCAGTCCTAGCAAAACACCCGCGTCTCCAACAGGTAGCATGTGTCAGAAAGACCACAAGAAACAGAGACCCTGGTAGCAGTTTGTACAGCTGGAGATGATATTTGCAATGGCTGCGTATGCTCAGAGCATTCACATCGGTCCCCAAAAGTCAAAATGAGCCATGCTCTGTATTGAGCAGCTTCTCTCTCTGAAAAGGTGGTTGTCTCTTCCTCTTTGTTTCCTCAGAGCTCGAATATGCAATGGAAGTATTGATTTCTCTGTCTTATTTGCCATTACAGAAAATAATAGTAACAGAGGCCAAAGCTTTCACCCTCCAGCTGCCCCAAACACCTCCTTTGCTGTTCCATGCAGTGGGTAAAAGGTTGTCTTATTTCCTGAGGACTTTGAATCAGACTGCAAGCTATCTATCTCAACCAGAAATTATTCCCGGGAGCGGGGAGCACGGTCTGTGCTTGTAACGTGCTCAAATTACTCTTATCCTAGAGAGGCTTTGTGCTGAGACACATGAGAGGCAGACAGAGCTCACCTCTCTCCTTGCTGGGCCTCTCAAAAGTCCCAGCATCTTTAGCAGGAGTGGAGATAGGCTCTGAATTTTTAAGCAGTTGCCTGGTTTTGTTTTATTGCAGTCTGGCATCCGTATGGCTTGTCATCTGTTCAGCTGGAGTTCTTCATGGGGGTGACTGTTTTCTCTGGTGGTGGGATATGCAGGAGACCAACAGGAGGAGTTTCATCAAAACTCGGCCTGCATTTTATCAGATGCACATTGCTGCTCTGAGGAGAAGAAGGGCATTTGCTCCTTTCTGAGATACTTTGTGCTGGGCTGCACAAGAGTGTAATGGTTTTGGTGGTCAGCACCTTCTTCCCCAAATGGCTCTCTCCATCTTGCTTGTCAGAGGGAGGAGGCCAGAGCCCCGTCACCCTCATCTGCAGGGAGCAGGGAAGAGCTGAAGGAGCTGAGGCCACAAGACACCACCCAGCGAGAAAGGATAAAGTGTTGCAGGGTGCAAGAGCACGAGAAGATGCTGCAAGAGGAGTGGGAAGCAACGCTGAGCACTGCTTTCTGCAGAGCTGTAACCTGGCACTGACAACACCGCCTGGTTTTGGCCTCTGCCCCCCTGCACTATTTCTTTGCCTGCCTTTGAGGCTTGCCCTACTGCTTCAGCTGCTGGGTGTCTAGTGAGCGAGAGGCATGGGTGTT